CCCCAAAACCCCAAAACCCCAAAACCCCATGCCTAGTAAATAAAAGAAATTAGTAGATTTATTATAATAAGCTAATTAAAAATACATTAGCCTCCATAAATGGATAAAAATTAAATCTAAAATACAGAGCAGCCTCCTCAAGACGAGAGTCTCTACTAAATGAGTTTGAATTTGGCAAAAGTTGCATTGCCTATTATTATAGGCTAAATTTTTTCTCTATTTGTTGAGATGCTTAACTTGGTTTTTGCTGGACATCTAGGAGATCCAATTTTGGTGGCTGCCACTGGATTAGGAAATATGTATGCAAATATTACTTGTCTTTTGGTTATCTATGGACTAAATGGCGCTTTAGCAACTTTAGTATCCTAAGCCTATGGTAGTGGGAATCTTAGAAAAGCTGGAATTTACTTAAACAAGGGTAGAATAGCCATTCTAATATTTTTTGTTCCAATATTTGGAGTGATGTTTCTCTGCGAGACATTTTTACTGTTTCTAAGCATGGATCCTGAAACTGCTCGTTAAGCATAACTTTACACCTACGGCATAGTGATTGCCCTATTCTTTTAATCTTAGTTTGATGCTACTAGATAGTATTTGAATGCACTCCATAGAGCTTCTATAATTACATATATTATGATATTTTCTTCGATATTTCATTGTGGTGTGTTAAACATCTTAGTAATAATGATGGAAATGGGAATTATTGGAGCTTCTGTAGCAACAATTATCACTTACTTCGTAAATCTAGTAATTGTCACAGTGTATTGTAAAATGTAAGAAGAATTCAATGAAAGCTTTTTTTTCCCAACAAAAGAATGTTTTGAGGATCTTTGGGATTATTTTAGAATGGGACTTCCTTCATCAGCTTTGATTTCTCTTGAATGGTGGAGTTTTGAAATCTAAGCTATCATAGCAAGTTATATTTCAATACTTGCTGTGAGCTCTATGGTTATCATTATGAATACTTTAACAATACTAGCTATGGTTCCAAGTGGATCATAAGTAAGTGCTGTAGTTTTTATTGGTAAATCAATGGGAGAAGGAAATGTTGGAAAAGGAAAGACATATAAGTTTTAGTAATTAATTTTTTTAAATTAGATTTCAATACACAAAACTAATAGTCTTTTATACTTTTATTATATGCCTTGTGGGGTTTTGGGGTTTTGGGGTTTTGGGGTTTTGGGGTTTTGGGGTTTTG